ACCAGCAATACACTGAAATAATTAAGGCTGTGGAATTACTTTGCACCTTGAAAATGCTGAGCTGTTAGCAATACTGTTTCTTTTTTCCTCCTTAAGTTGATTGTTGCAAAGATTGAAAAGCATCAATATATTCCAACTGTTTGCTCTTGTCTCAGTGAACAAGTCTGAGATTTAATTTTTTTTTTCACTTTCTATTGCATTTGCCTTCCAAAAGTTAATCAGCAAATTGACCTCAGTGGCAGAGCAACGCTGAACAGTTTGGTAAAAAGAGAAGGAAAAGCACCAGCATCAGAAGTTAGACATGAAGGTGAAATATGGCTTGAGTAGAGAAGATGTTGGTTTTTTACTAGCTTCATAATAAAGACTACAGTTACAGCGAATATTCAGCATCCTGACGCTATGGTAACACTCACCACTATACAGATCCCAGAACGAGAATTCATCACTTGATGGCAGTGTGCAGTCAGCCTAGTAAAATGGGATTTTATTTTGTTTCCTTGGGAAAGCACCATTTTCTGATGGGACATGAAAGAATGAGCTGGAAAATGAATCCAAGCCCTGTGTTACAGGAAAATGTACCTCTGCAGTGAAAGGAACGGAAACAAACCCAGGTGGTTAGCCCCTGTGCGCGTTAATTATCTGTTAGACCTTTGTGTATACAGACCAGCCTTTACATCTGTCTCTGAAGTTTATGTTATTCCAGGTCTTTTGATGCAGTGCCCTCATTGCAAGGGTATTAAAATATGGTTATATAGAGTCAGGTCATAATGTGTGGTTCTGCATTTAGCCTTTATTCACAGTATTCATTGCAAATGCCTAACAACCTCATCAGAAATGCTAATGAACTCCACTGAAGCTACAGAACTTGTACAGGTCAGTTGAGGGCACAGACTTTGTTTCAGCATTAACTTAGTTTAAAAGTAAAATGCTTTTAAAGATAAATGTTATTGGGAAAAAAAATAGAGCCATTTAAAATAAAAGGGCAATAAGACTAAACAAGATGTGTTGGTACAAGTAGGAAGAGAGAAATTTTATACATTTTAAAGCCTGAATTGCTTTAAAATATTGAAGTCTAAAACCCTGGACTGGCTGTGTGTCACCCCTGTAGTAACATGCATAGGGGGTTTGGCAGCTTGGTGGAGAGGTGGGGGTCACCCACAGGGCAGCAAGTGCTTTGCACACCTGATGGGAGCTGGCAATGTTACACGGGCAATCAGATTTCCCGTTCGATGGCCAAGAGTGAAACAGCCTGGCCTGGCTGCTCCAAGTGGAGCGGAGAGAGAGAGAGGGGCGAGTTAGTTTCTCATTGCCACGCGTGTTCATTAAATGTAGCCATCTTAAATAACGAGTGCCGCATGTCACCATGCCCTCTGGGCTCTGTTTCACTGACGCCTTTGCTGCTGCCTTCCTGCAGGCCTGTCAGCCAGCCCAGCGCCGGGGGACACTGTGAGCAAGTGTACTTTGATGTCATTGCAGGGTAAGAGCGCTGTGAAGATGTCTGAAGGAGGTGGCTGTGTGCGTAGTGCCAGTCTGCACCGAGCTCGTGGTGCTCCGTTGCTAGTATTTCTGTTGGTCACTCCAACTGGTCTGAAGCTGCCGCAGAAGCTAGAGGGTGCAGCTATCATCACGCCTTCACTCGCTCGTCTTGGGAATACCCTGAGTGGTAAAGCTGCGGGTGGAAATCTTCCCCTCGGAGTCAACTGTTCTCTGGGGAGGTTTGTAAAGGCCTAACGGAGCTTTCTGAGAAACTGTGTTTCCCCATGTTTGTTACAGGCAATATTTCATACACAAAAAATTCCAGTAGTTGGAGAATGCCGCAAAGGGGGGTTGGCTGTGGTGCTTCTCACCCCGTGGGCTCACTCCAGGCCTACTTACTGAGCTTCTGTAATCTCTTTACAACAGTGTTACAGTTTACAACAGAGTTACAGGACCTGTTGGATCTGCAGAGAGGTTGGGCGAGAGCGACCTCGAGAGAGCAAGAGCAGAATACTTCCTCTGTATTTATCATACGGCAGCATTTCATGTCAACTTGATATTATTCAGGCAAAAGAAATCTTTGAGATAAAATGCAAGAATGGTTGATAATCACAAATGTATCTGGAAGTACTAACAGGTTCCAGTTTTCCTGAATGTGCTGTAAGAAAAGCGGTACCCAGGGAGAGGAGTTCTCTAACATGAATCTGGAAAAAGCAGAACCATAAAGGAAAGCAACCTCATAACATTCAAAATCTTCAGAGTTCAGCACCTCCAGCTCTCCCTTGACAAGGAATCTCTTCTCTGAATCTGAGCACCAATACCTAAACATGTATCCTCTTTCAGCCTTTTGGGTTTTTTGTCTGTTATTTGGTAGCAATTGAAGGCTTAAATATTCCCTTAAACAATCCAGCTTTTTCCCCCTGTGCACCCAAAGTGTCTGCTGTCGCAGTTTGAGATGCGAATGCAGGAAGTAGTAAAATAAAATGATAAATAACTCCAGATTTCATGTGATACATCAGAATGTGTTTGTATTAATGCCAAGCAGAAAGACTGTGGCTTAAACTGTACCTGCAGGCCTAATAAAAGCTGTGGGTTTTATAAACCACACTTCCATAAACAAGGGCAGCACAATCACAGCACAAAGAGCCAGCTTTGACAAATAGGAAGAAGTACAAACAGTCTTGTAGTGAGAAAGTACCTGAGGCTGGTGCTAATTAAAGACACCCTTTGATGACTGCTGTCTGAAGAAGTCTCGGTTGCTAAGAAATCACATACTTTGCACTTTTGTTTAGGATGAGAGTCTGGTGTTTGTCTAAGAGGTGCTGCTGGATTGCTTAGAAAATTAGCTGCTGCACTACAGAGGGAAACAGATAGATTTTAGCTGATCCAGAAGTTTTAGCCTTCTATGAACACCACCTCTTTCAAGCCTTTCCACAACTTCCCCCTGTATCAGATCTCTCTCCATCAGCCACACAGCCTCATATGCTGCTTCTGACTGCTCAGGCACCTGGGCTCACCCTTCTGATTGTGGCTCCCTGACCTCAAGGGCTGTTCTTGTATCGCATGCACGTGGTGTTGAACGTTGTTCTTTTTGCTGTGTCTCCTTTCTTCTCCACTAGCAAAATCCTAACCACTCCAGTGTGCTGATAGAGCAAGCCCAAAGAGAAGGGCCAGGTCTCCTACCTGCTGTGAAACTGTTGGAGGTGGATGAAAAAAAAGGGCTGGCAGAGCCCTGATAATTTAACAGTACTCGCAGAGTTCCTCCACCACCTGCTGGCAGACACAGCTTTTGCTCCTGCAGATATATTGCACGCTTACAATGCGGTTACTTGGGTGGTTAATTAAATTTGACTCTTGCCCTTACAAGAGAGTCTATAGTGAGCACACATGGTCAGATCAAGCCCTTTTCCTTAGGAAAACCTTTGGTAACAACTGACATTTCCCATTGCAGGCACAGCAACGGCACTCAACACCGAGACAAAGTCCTCGGATGCCGGGGCGGGGAAGAAAAAAAATCTCTTTGATCATCATCCTACAAGGCTGCAGAGTTTTATGGTGTGGCAGCAGGATGGGGAAGCACCAGCCGGGGAAGTGTTTCCCCTCCCAGTCTCACTGCTAGAGAGGAAGATCTGGCCGGCCTACGAACTGCTGATTTGTCACTGCAGACTCCCTGCGTTGGTTATACTTAAGGCTGGCTCTGTCACTGTAACATCAATATGATGGTGTTGCAACTTGGCTTGCAAGAGAGAAATGTTTTAATCGTGAATATTTTTTATTTTATTACAAATTAGGCTTTGGACATAAAAATATCCTCACAAATGCTTTGGTGATGAGGTGCTAACGGCAGCTGAGAGATATTTACAAGTTTGGAAATGAAACAAATGACATACTTTAAACACTGAAAACAATTTTCAAGCTGTAAGCATAAGGATGAACTCACCACTCCTACTGCACTCTGAAAGGCTTAGATGGACTTTGGGCCAAGCAATTCTGAAGCTAGAAATGGAACAGGATCCTTTTTATATATATATA